AACTAAGAGCAAAATCAGTAATGTAACAGCTAGACTGGATGATCTTAAAGGTCTTTTCCAACCTAAACGATTCTATGATTCCATAAGTCTTAGAAAGTAAGAGAGGAGCTGTATTTTGAGGTATGATGAGAAGAAATTCGTAACTAGGAAGATTCAGCTGGAGAGAGAACCCTTCCCAGCCAGGAGGGTGGTTGGACACGGGACAGCCTTGGGAGGAGGTGCGTATCCACCGTCGCTCGAGGCACCTTCTCCCCGTCTTAAAAACCTTTTCCCAGCCCTATATTTCAGTTTTCCCCAGCAAGACGCCTGGAGGCCGCCGTTCCCCCGCCACGGACCCCGGGGGCTGCGCCCGCCCCCGCCTCCCTCGGTGGGTGCCTGCCCCCGCGGGATGTGGGCTCCGGAGTTTCCTCTCGCAGATGAGAAAACGGAAGCGAGTTTTTCAACTGGGCGAGGGAGTTTAATAGCAAACAGCTGTGCTGAGCTGAGACCACGGCCGGGGCACGGGCTGCAGGCGGGGAAGGAAAACTACGGGCTGCGGTGGGACGGGTACGGGCACGGGCAGCCACGGGGCAACGAGCCGGCGAGAGCAGCGGCAGTCAAGATTTTACTCATCCTATGGATTTTAAGCCGAGGATTCCTATGGATTTTAAGCTGAGGATTGCTATCGACTTTAAGCCAAGGATTTCCAAAGGCAGATTTATTTTTTTTTCAACTAAGAGGGGACCCAACTGAAGAACTTTTCAAGCGCATCCCAAAAAAGGTTGGCAGCCTCCCGGGGCTCCACGTGCTTTGCTGCAGGGTTTTTTCCCATCCGTAGGGAGATGCTTGGCAAAGGGTTAAGCGCAAAGCAATGGCGAGCAGGCAGGAAGCGAATATCTGCAAACCCTCCCCTCGACCCACAAAAATAACATCGAAACTCAAAATCTCAACCAACCCAAGCAGAAACCTTGACCTCATTGGGATGAAGCCCACCGGGGCCGGAGCTGCCGGCTCGGCCGGGAGGCGCGTGGGTAGCGTGGGGAGAGGGCGAGCTGTGAAAGAGGGAAAATAGTGTGGTTTTAAAGGGATGGGGAGGAAAGGGGCGAGGCAGGTTAATGCGGATGGGGGTGTCTCTTCTTAGATGAGCAGGTGGGGTTGGACAGGCAAACTTGTTGGCATGCGGAGTTGGAGTCTGAATTCCAAGGGCTTTGCTGGCTTGGGGCTGAGAACAGCTCCTGGTGGCTGGATGCGATGGTGTCAAACTTGGAAGAAGTTGGGGAAGAGAACCGTGTGGTACCCGCAGCGCGGAGATGCCGCTAAGGCAGCTGGATCCAACGTGCTCGAAGGTGATGGAGGGGGCAAAGAGCCCCTTGGCACCAGAGCCTGCTGCTCCTCCGTGGCTGCCATGGCATCGGCGCCCAGCTGGAGCATCCCCGGCGGCATCCCGCCTCTTGGGGGGGCGAGGGACGGCCCTCGGGGGCCGGGGACACCGGGGAAACGCGAGGGCGGATTGGGAGGGCTGTTTCTGGCCGGAAGAATAAAACGCTCTGGTTATGGTCAGTTTTTTCCTTTTACGTTTCTTCTTACCCGCTTTTCACGTCTCGCACCACAGAGCAAAACCATCGAAATGCAAAGAGCAGCCAAAGAAAGCAGGCAAACCAGCGTCTTTGCCATTTCCCACCCCATGCTGCTTTCCCAGAACCGAATTCCTGGCTTGCACCATCTCTGAGCTTTTGTGTCTTTGTTTCGAATTGTTGAGGTTCATATGTGGAAATCAAACCTAAAAGGTGCCGCGGCGAGGGAGCAGCATGGGAGCGAGGCCTTTCACATGGGAAAACTCCACGTGCGAGCCAGCAAACCTACGGCTTTTGCAGAAAGGGCTGGCGCCGCCGGCTCTTGCTTCCGACGACGGCCAGGGTGCTGCGTCCCGGGGCTGCTCCGAGCATCCCGGCGCGGCAAAGCCTGGCAGGCTGCGGTCGGGGCTTGCCGGGGTTTTATGCTGAGGACGAAGGTGTGGATGAGATCACTGCCATCCTCGGCTCTCGGAGGCATCGCGTCATTTCCCAGCTTTAATAGGCGGAAGCGCAACTTGAAGGGAAATTTAAAAATCAGACTCTTCCCTTAACAATGACTTGTGCCCGAGCAGATGCCATTGTCAGGATTCCTGCGGAAGCCGCGGGAGGGGACCTTGTTGAGTGGTTTTGCTGCAGGAGGCGAGAAGATGGATGAAGGAAACCCAAAAAATCCGGCTGCCGCGGGCTTTCCAGCGCTCCCCGAGGGGCCGTGTGCCGGCTGGGAGGTAGGTGGGACGGGCTGCCCTTCCTGCGGGGCCCTGGGGGAACGGAGGGGCTTTTCTAGCGAGCCGGCTGCTCTCGCTGCCCGACGGGGTTTTCTGCTCTGGCTGAAGCTTTCCTGCCCTTCCCTGGCCTTTTGTGATCAGCGGCTGCGTGGGCTGGCGGCTGCCAACGGGGAGATCATAACGCGGTGCTTCAGATACTTTGAAATACCGAAAAAAGGCCCTTTGAAACAGTCATTCTTAAAAAAAATAACATAAAGTAGAAGTAAAGTAAAAATAAAATAAAAATAAAGTAAAAATAAAGTAAGGTAAAAATAAAATAAATAAAAATAAAGTAAGGTAAAAATAAAGTAAACCCCAAAACATGTTCCTGGTTGTCTCAGTCGGTGCCCGCCGTGCAGCAGGGCAGCAGCTCGCTCCCCCCTGGGCATCGTCCCCACGCGTGGCTCCCGACGGCTCCCGACGGGGGTGAAGCAGGAGGGATTTGTCACCCCGTGCTGTCCCACCGCCGGTTTTAGGCTGAGCCGCGCGCTGCAACCGGTCCTTGCCGTCACCGGCCCCGGGCCGCTGCGGGAGGTGGCGCTGGGTGGCCCGTGCCAGCGTCCCGGCTCCGAGACGCGTGTTTCCCAAGCATTGCCCTTGATTTGTTCCCTCCTTAATTAGACGCGGATCGGCGGCGTGAAGCCCCGGGCCGCTCTCGGGCTGCGTTCGCGGGCTCGGAGCAATGGAGGGTGCTTCCCGTCCCTTCCCCTCCCCTCCGAAATACCCCTCCGGCCGCAGCACCCACCGAAACGGGGGGGATGAATTGCACCCAAGCACCCGCAGCACCGCAGAGTCCCGGCCTCCGGGCGTTACCGGGGCATCACCGAGCAGCCGGGGAACTGGGAGCATCCTCGGAGCAGGGAGAGGAGTCGCTCTCTGCGTGTCCTGCGGTCGCCCTTCGGTGCGTTTTGCCGCCCCGTGAGCAAAGGGAGGAGAGGAGGGGCTGTAACGCGGCTTTGCTTGGTTTGGTGACTTTAAACTGCCTTTTTTCCTGTTTAACAGCCATTTCTGATGGCTGCTGGGCAGGGTACCACAAGGCACGACCTGATACGAATACCAGAGCTCGGTTGCTTACCCAGGGATCAGGAATTCTATTATTTTTACGCCATCTCTCATTGCTAGCGAGCATCCCTTCCCTCTCCCGGCGCCTACAGCCTTCGTCCTCCTCCTCCTCAGCAAGCAGAGAAACCCAGCAGGAAAAAAGCCAAGGTTATTCGCCCCCCAGCCCCACCGCCCTGGGAGGGCAAACACTGGGATCACGGAGCTGCTGGGAGTGCTCCGGGCACCCAAAGGCCGCGGGCCCCGGCCGGTGGGGCCCTGTGGCGGTGGCACTAGATGGCGGTGGCACCGCGCTGCCTGGCCCCATCCCACCTCGCTCCGAGTGCTTGGCAGCTGCCCAGGGCTTTGACATTGTTTTCCGGAGCGCTTGTGCGCTTATTAGCTAGTGAACCACCGAAATGAGCCTTCCGGGCGGTTTCAAAACCATCGAAATGCAAAGAGCAGCCAAAGAAAGCAGGCAAACCAGCGTCTTTGCCATTTCCCACCCCATGCTGCTTTCCCAGAACCGAATTCCTGGCTTGCACCATCTCTGAGCTTTTGTGTCTTTGTTTTGAATTGTTGAAGTTCACATGCGGAAATCAAACGGGGCGGTTTGCGTGTGATGCCGTCTACGAGCAGCCGTGAAATTCGCTTCTGAGATGAGAAAGGTGTAAAAAAATTCTGCTCAAAGCCCTCCCCGAGAGGCAGAAAACACCGGCAGGGAACTTTGCCGGGGCTGGGGCTCAAATCCTCCGGGGAAAGATTGTGCCGCAGAACTGCTCCTGGCTTTTGCAAAGCCCCTGCAAGTTTGCAACCTCTTCCCGGGGCAAATCTGCCCGTTCTTGCGGGAGGTTTGCGCCCTGCGGCCGACAAGGGGCCGTGCCCGCCCAGCGCCCAGCCCGCAGGCTCTGGCCATTTCCCCGTTTCTCTGGGTTCTGAACCCATTGCAGCCGGCGGTTTTGGCAGCGCGGGGCAGGGGAGCTGGAGCGCCTCGCCGGCGTGGAGCCGTCCGCGAGAGGCAGCGAGAGGCGGCGTTCTTCAACCGCGTTTTGCGCTGGAGGAGGCGTGCAGCGAAACAAAAAGGCTTTGGGGTATTTTTCGCTGCCCTGGGCGAGGCCGGGCGGGTGACGCTGGGGACCGGTGCCAGCGCCGGCAAAACGTGGTCCCTCTGAGCGGGCAAAGGAAATCTTGGGTGCCTAAGCCAGCCTCGCCCGCGGTTTTGGGGCTTTCGGAAGCCGCCGGGCTGCTTCTGAGCTGCGTCTGCCGTGCGAAGGGCCGGGCTTCGGGCTGGGGAGCTGCGGCGCTCCCCCAAAGAGGGTTTTGGGGGGACACCCGAGGCCTGGGAGCCGGACGCGAGCGCGAGCCGACGCCTGGACGAGCTTTACCCTCGGCTTTTGGGCGACGCGAGCAGCGGCCGGCGCTTTGGGGGATGCTCCAGGCGGGAGCCCAGGGATGCGGCGGCAGCAGCGCCTGCACCACCACCAGCAGCCAAACGGGAATTGTCTGCCCGGGCTGGTGGGGTTTTCCCCCGAGGGAAACGCCCGAGGCAACTCTGAATGCGAGGGGTGCTGGGTTTTGAGCAGAGCACCGTTACGAAGCTAAAAATAAATGTCTTTCTTGTGCGCCGGGGGCTGAGGAAGCGGTTTTACCTCCCGGCTGGGTGTCCCGGGTGGGCGCGCGGGTGGCCGGGGGAGGCGAGGCGAGAGCCGGGGCGAAGGGGCTGCGAGGGGGCCCCGGAGCGGGGGTGGGCTCCGGCCAGGCGCTGTCTGCAGAGCAGGATGGTCAGCTGGAGCAGGAAAAGGAGGGAGACGCAGGGCAGCCCCAGCGTCAGCGTCAGCGGCCACGAAGGGCATCCTTCTGCGGAAAGGGAAAGGAGAGGTCACAGAGGGGGAGAAGGTGGGTTTGGTCCCCCTGGAGAGCCGAGCATCCCCGGAACGCGGGGGTCCGGGCTGTGCAAGGGGGGACGTGCAGGTTTAAAGCCCTTCAGGGCAGGGGGACCCCAGTGAGGAGATGGGAAGGGGCCGAGGGATTTGGGAAATGGGGCTTCAGGAGGAAGAAGTGGGACGTGGGGCTTTCCTAAATGCGGCAAGGCTGGGAGAACTGGGATGCAGGGGGTGGGGGGAGGCCGGGATCCGCAGGGGGTTGGGGGGATGGACTAATTACCCTCCCCGGCTCCTTTGCCGATGGCGACGCTGGCGGTCCTGTTCGTGCGGCTCTGCAGGGCCGTGCACGTCGCAGCCCCGTCCCACCGCTCGGCCGGGAGCCAGGTGATGCTCCAGGCGCTGAGGACGCCACGCTCGTCCACGGCCTCTGCCGTCACCGGCGTCTCCTGGCCGCCGGGCTGCCAGCGCACGGTGTCCCAGCCCGGAGGGAGGTCGTGGAGGCGGCAGAGCAGGGGGATGGCGGCCGGGGGCTGCCCGGGCTCCTCTGCGTCAGCGGGCACCAGGATGGAGAGCTGGGGCTGGGTGGCATCTAAAGAGGGAAAGGGGGTGCTGCGGGGTGGCAGAAACCTCCCCGGGGATGTCCCCAGCCCCACGCGACCTGCCGGGCACTCACTGGTGACGACGAGCCTGGTCCCGTTCCCAAATGAGGGGAAGAAGGTGTGCGAGCTGCAGTAATAAACCCCGGAGTCCTCCCTCTGCGCGGGGCTGATGGCCAGGGAAAATTCGTACTGGTTTTCCATCCTCCCCGAGTATTTTCCCTTCGGAGAGGAGAACTTCGAGCTCCGGTAAATCCAGTGCAAAGTGCCGTCTGGCTTCTCCTTGTACCAGTTCACGTAGCTGCCGTGGTCCGGGATGCGACAGCTCAGGTTCGCCGTCTGTCCGGGGAGCACCCAGAGCTGCCCCGGGCTCTGCTGGAGCCCTGTGCCCTCTGCCGAGGCACCTCCTGCACGGGGGGAGCGGCTGTGAGTGGGATTCTCTGCACTGGGGGCTTTCCGATCTAGCGCCTTCAAATCGTTTTGGGGCGACCCCCCCCCAGCAGCGCATGGGGCGCGGGTCGGGGGTTCTGGAGCGGGCACGTACCTGGCAGGAGGAGCAGGAGGGTCCCCAGGAGCGCGGAGGACATGCTGGCCAAACGCCTTTTGCCGGGGAGCTTTTTCTCTGCCTCCGCGGCTGGGGGCTCTGAAGGCCGAGCCCCCCGGGAGGTTTGGCAGCCGCAGGCCCCGCGGGCGCTGGGAGGAGGCACCCCAGGAGCTGGCCCTGCCCCGTGCGGGACGGGGGGGTCCCCCACGTGTCCCCCCCAGCGCGGGGCTCTCCAGCCTCGGCAGCCTCCGTGGCTGATGGAAACGGGGTGGCGAGGGCGGCGTTGCCCCCCGTCCCCTGCCAACGGGACCTTTCTGGGCTGGGTTTGGCGCAGGGTGATGGCGGAGGGGGTTGCGGGTGCCAGGGATCCTCCAGCCTGGGGGTTCGCTGGGGGCTTGTCGGGCAGGAGGGGGGGGATCTGGGGAGGGACCCGAGCGCCCTGGTCTCGCTTGCCAAAGGGGATTTCAAGGCCAGCTCCGTGTTGCACCGAGGGTTCTCGTCCCCCTGCCCGAGCCCGCGAGGACCCCGGGCTTCGTCGTCCCCTGGGTTTCTGCTCTCCCAGGCCAACGTTTTGCTCGCCCTTGGTCTTTGGGCTGGATTTCCCCAGGCGCCCACATGGGAGCCACCGGGAATTGCCCCCGGAGCACGGCATCCCCTCCAGCAGGAGCATCTCTCTCTCCTGCAATGCCTAGCAGCTCTTCTTCTGCCCTTCTGCAGCAGCTGGAGGCTTTGCTCGAGCTGGAGATGGCTGCGGTCAGCCTCGCTGCTGCATTTGCTCGCTTTGCCGGGGTTTCTTGCCCCCAAACCCCTTCCCCCCGCCAGCACTGGGGCTTTGTGATGTTTTTCGGCGCCGTTTTGGCCGAGGGCCCCGTGTGCCAGACCGCAGCAGGAAAGGCGGTGGCGGGGCTGGGGGCTGGGAACGGCTTTGGCCGGGCATTGCCCCCAAACCAGGGGCGGGGATGGGATGGGATTTGTGTGGTTTCAGCACGTTTGGGACTCAGCCGGCGTTGGAAGGCTGGACCCAGCCCCAGTCCGCCTGGCCGGGGCCGTCTCCGTCCCCCAGCATCCCCAAGATGCTTAACCCGCCCAGGCTTCCCCCCAGCCCGGTCCCAGGCAGCGCCCGGCTCAGGACCTGCAGCCTCTCGCCCGCGTTTTGCATCCAGAAACGATTTCCTCTCCACTGCGGAGGCTGTGGAGGGGGGTTCAGCATCCCCTTGGCTCAGAGCATCGCCCGGCCGCGTTTGTTGCGCCGCGATGCTCCCAAAGCCCCAGGTTGGAGTCGGGGGCTTGGAAAGCGGGGGGTGAGGGCGGCCGGTGGCGCTGCAGCCCCAGCGCCCAAGCGTCCGCCACGTCCCCGGTGACGAAGGCAGCGGGGTGGGGGGATGTCGCTGCCCAGGGCCCCGTGGTTTCGGCAGCAGTGGCAGCTGTGCAGAAGGGCTCGGCCCTGGGGAGGAGCTGGACCCCAGCGCAGCACCGGCCCGCGATGGCAGCCGGGGGCTGGCTGGCCCCCGCGGGGCTGCTGTGGCTCTGCCTGGGTGGGTGGCAGGGCCGGGGCCGGGGGAGCGCGGCCAGGCCCTGGGCTGGGGAGATTTCTGGGCTTTTTGGAGCACCTGGCTGCTGGGGGGTGGCGGGGGCTACGGCGGGGCGGGGCTGAGCCCCCGCTTGGTCCCCGCAGCCCCGGCAGCGCTGCTGAGGCTGCGCCAGCCCCAGCCCGTCCTGGTTGTGGAGCCCGGGGAGCCGGTGCAGATCGGCTGCGAGGCCAGCGAGGATACGGAGAGTAGAGGCAATGTGTTCTGGTACCGGCGCGGCGGCAGGGACGGACCCCAGCAGGTCCTGCATTGCTGGAACGGGACAAAGGGGAGGTTCTCCTGCGAGTACGGGCGGCACAAAGTCACCCTGCACATCGCCAACGCCAGCCCCGAGGACACCGGCATCTACCTGTGTGCCTACGACAATGGAAACCGCCTGGATTTCGGCAATGGCACTGCGCTGCTGGTGGGAGGTAGGATGGCGACATTGCCAGGGGTGGGACCCCCATGTCACCCCCATGTCCCTCATCCCCTGCTGTCACCCACTGTGCTGTCCAGCATCCTCCATTCCCCTCCAGCACCCTCTATCCCCATCCACCACCCCCTCTGTCCCCGTCCATGCCCTCTGTCCCTCTCTGTACCCCTCCATCGCCTCCGTCCCCTCCGTCCCCTCCATCGCCTCCGTCCCCTCCACCCCAGCTCCGTGCCCACCCCAGACCCCGCTGCAGCCCCTCTCCCTGTTGCAGACAGCTGGACGGCTGCGAGCTGGGTGCGGGTGCTGGCACCCCGCAGGGACCCCTGGGACCCCCCCAGCCTGGTCTGTGCCGTGGGTGCCAGCGCCGGCCCCGTCCTTGTCTCCTGGCCGGGGGGGACCGGGGGGGTGCTGAGGCTGGGGGCCAGCGTGGAGCCGTTCCACAGCACCGTGGGCCTGGCCGAGGGGGCCGGGGGGCTCTGCAAGGTGCGCTTCAACGCCTCGGGGCCCCCCGTCCGCAGGAGCATGGAGCTGCGTGAGGCCGCGGGTGAGTGCAGGGACCCCCCCCCCCAGGTGGGTCACCCCGGGGAAACTGAGGCAGCGGGGACGGCTTGGCCCCAGGGCGAGGGGACGGTGGGGGCTCTGTGGGGATGA